TGCCAAAAAATGTATGAAACAAGAGGAGTCACGGAAGGCTTGTTGCTACCAGAAATTGAAATGTATTCTATAATAAGTTTAATCAGTGTAATATGTATACAGGGAAATAAACAAATGGGCCAAAGCAGAAATGCTAGAAAACAGACCCAAGTATAATATGATAAAGATGATATTTCCCATGATCAAATTATTAGATTAAAAACCATAAAGTCTTTATATTATGCCTGGTGTAGTTGAAACCTTCAAAAATGTTAGTTGTTATCATTATTATTTCAAATGAATGAGAAAAAGAATAGCTTATCTAACAAACATCTGATAAACCATTTTGAATAAAAAGTTTCATTTCTACTTCATTTCTTATTCTAAGATAAATTCCTGATGAATTCAATATTAAGTTTAAAACACAGGACTATGGCAGTACTTGAAGGAAATTTCAGAGAATGTCTGTAGAGTCCTGGAATGGCAAATAATTTTCAAACACAAAAGACTGTATTACTCTTCTCTAACTTTCTACTGGCTCCTTAGTATCATCTTTTAAAACAGTCAGTCGTCCACAGTTAAAAAGGAAAACTACAAAACAGTCAGTGGGCTGGATTGGCCCAACGGTGCAGTTGCCAACTTGCGCTCTATTACGAGATTCCTTCTTCTTTCTTGAAAACTCTTATTTATTGCAATGACCTTAGTTACATTTGTGAGTCAATGGCACAGTTTTTATTCTCAAGGCCAGACTTCTCAGCCGCAAACTTAACCTGCTCACTTGACATCCTCACATGTGTGTTCTAAAACAAAATTCACGACCTGCTCTTTCAAAGTATCTGTTATAGCATCACCATCCATGAATTTGTCCTTGGTAGGAACCTAGGAATTACCCTTTACTTTTCTCTCTCTCATTTCTTCCACAACCTACAAGAGCTCATAAATCAATAAGGAAAAACAACATCAACACCACATATCTCTCAGTAGAAAAACAGGCCAAAGACATGAATCTGCAACTCACAAAAGAAAAGCAGTGGCCAAGCAACATACACCATTTTCAACTTCCATAACAATCAAATATGCAAATCAAAAGAACAAATAGATATCATTTTTCATTCACCAGATTGCCAAACTGAAGAGGTGCATCTGTTTACCTTTCAGGGTCCAAGTCTCTAAACTGCTACCTGAACTTAGTTCTGATTCACAATCAGAATTAACTGATGTCATCTAGACCCTGAGAGTTGTTATTGTTTAATCCATGAAGTATAATACATTAGACAGTTGCAAAATCATTTTAGAACTTTAAATTTAAACTTAGAAGGATATACAACCATTGCTGCTTAGAGATATACACCTATGAAAATAATTAGTGTCATATCCACTAGACAGCACATGACAACAGGTTATATTTATTTATGTGTACATTCAAAAAATGTGCTAACCGAGCAATGGAATACCCAGAGCAGATTGTTTCTGGCTTCCCGCTACATGCCTAACAGCAGGCAGCACAAAAGTGGAAAGGGAGACGAGCTAGAAGCACAACTCTGCTCTGCCTATGCCAACTGAATCGTTCACCTTAGTTTATTTCTACAGTTTTAAAAGCTTTAATGACAATACATTGAACAAAAGTATCTACAAGAAAAATGGAAGAATGTATGTTAAAGTGTCAGGGCTTTTAGGAAGGAACTGTGTTATGGACTGAATTGTGTCCCCCAAAATATGTGTTGTGAATCATAACCACTATACCTGTGGTTATAATCCCATTTGGGAAAGGGTTTTCTTTGTTATGTTAAGAGGCCATATTAGTGTAGGGAGTGTTTTAAACCAACCACCTTTGAGGTACAAGATAGATTAGGTCCAGAGAAGCAAGCAGACACGGGAGCACAGGGTTGGGGGGAGACAGGAGGGAGATGGGGAGATGGGATGGATGCCACCTCGGGGGATCTTCAAGGAACCAGGAAACAGAAGCCAAGAAGACAATGACCTCTCCCCAGAGCTAACACAGTGAGTGAGCCGTCCCCAGAGACAGGCGCCTGCATCTGACTTCTAGCCTCCTGAATGGTGAGAAAATAAACTCCTGTTTGTAAAAGCCACCCACTTGTAGAATTTCTGTCATGGTAGCACTAGATAACTAAGACAAGCCAGCATTCAGAAAATTTTTTTTAGCCATGTGTTTATGGCTGGTATATCAAGCCAAAGAGATGTGTTGATTCTACTTCCTATTTTTAAGTTTGTTTAATTTCATAAAGTTAAATATATAATTCAACAAAATGTTCTCTTCCAGCAATTTCATTCAAAACCACAGTCTTAGAATCACCCTCTTTCTGCATGATGGTATGATTCAGTCAGCTCAGCTGTAACGTTAGACCAAAGCTCTGAAAAAACCTCCACAATCAAAAACGATTTTTTAAAAAACAGTGCTTTCAAAGGAGAAAAAAGAATTGGAGGACTGGATATTTTCTGACTCACAATTACAAAGTTGTTTTTCCTCCAGGATTGGAACTACAAAAGCATATAATTATAAAACCTAACATCACTAAGCAAATACAACTTTTGAGGATTTTTTTTTCCTAAAGAATATTCTCCATAAATATTTTGAATTTTCTGTACTGTATTTTTCTGGCAGAGTAAAGCAAATGTTAACAGTGGTTATCTCAGCAGCAAGTAGGCTGGGAAGACTTTTACTATTTGGCATGTTTCTGTGCTTTTTGAATTTTCAAACTCTGGACGTGGTCAGAATAGGGATTATCTGGCATACTGTTGTTGTTTTTTCTTCACACATTTATGTACTTTCTAAAAGTTATAAAAGAAGCAAAAAACAGTGATGCTATTACCTTGTCAATCACCATGAATCTTATGATTAATTAGCATGTGTTACCCAATCTTATAACTGCTATAATCTTAGCAACCTCTGTTCTACTAAACAAAGAGAGGATAAAACTACTTACACAAAGCAGCTCGGTAGCCAATAAGAAGATCTAGACTGGGTCCCAATTTTGTAGGACTTAGGGTGGCATAGTGCCTAAGGCATCTGACTGCTAACCAGAAGGCTGGCAGTTCAAACCACCAGCCACTTCTTGGAAGGAAGATCAGGCAATCTACTTCCATAGTGATACCACCTCAGAAACCCAAGGAGGGGTCGTTATGAATTGGATCTGACTCGATGGCAATGAGTTTTTTTTTTTAATAATCAGTTGTGAGCTGCCTAATACAAATCGTATTTGTTAATTAATATGTAATTGTTTTCTATCTAATTCACACTATGAAAAGTCATGGTATGGCAAATATTACAATATTCATCATTAGGACCTGACATTCCATATTCTTAATCATATGAATGATAATTCCAAATGTCGACAAAGCCTCTGTTACTAAACTTTTCCATGAAACATCAGGAAAATGGAAGCGAGTCAGGCTAGACTGATGGAAAGAAAGGCAGACTGACAGGTGAGGAAGGACAGATCTTCAGGGAAGTCAGAAGGGAAATATCAAGGAGAGGTGCTCCAGTGCAGTTCAGAACAAGTGAAGGTTGGATATCTATTTACATTACCAGTTGGTAGGTGGATTATGGTGCTTTAAATGGGGTGCCGCAGAGAGAATAAACGGTTTCTCTACAACTTACATGCCATTTCGGCTGTTCAGATCTTACATGGTTTATCAATAGGCCAACAAACCAAATTTGGAAATCTTTATGCAAACAGTGAAAACTGTGAGAACCAGAACTCCACTGGACTGCCTCATTTTTTGGGGTCTCTCAAGTTTTCTGCCTTTTACAGAGTCCAGTCCTACCACTTTTTTATCATTAATTTGAGTAGCAAATATTTGAGTTTTCCTTCTCTCCTAGGTTTATGGATAGTTCTGGTGGGGTAGTACCTAAAGCATTTGACTGCTAACCAGAAGGCTGGAAGTTCAAACCCACTAGCCACTCCTTGGAAGAAAGATGGGGCAATCTACTTCCGTAGTGATGCTGCCTCGGAAACCCAAGGAGGGGTCACTATGAGTCAGATCCGACTCGCAGCAGTGAGTTTGGTTTTGGTTACTGATAGGTTTATGCCTTACAGATCCCTGTTTTTGCAAGTTTTACTGGAGTACAAAGTGCAACAGAAACACATAAAAATAGTATCTGCTTTACCTTAGAATTTCTTTACCTTAGAATCAAAAGCAAATTGTCAAGTGAAAGATCATACCAAAAAATCATTGCTATGGCTTTGTTGTTGTTGTTTGCCCTCGAGTCAGCCCCAACTCATAGCGACCCCTCCTTGGGTTTCCGAGGCAGTATCACTACGGAAGTAGGATTGCCCAACCTTCCTTCCTTCTGGTGAGCAGTCAAGTGCCTTAGACACTATGCTATCAGAGCTCCTTGGTATGGCTTTAGAGGCAATGAATTAAAGAGCATATCCCTGAAAAAGAGAGTGACCATCAAGGGAAGGAAGTTAACTGCGAGCCGGACATTTATGTTGTTATTGTGTAACGTCATAGCGACCCCTTCTTGGGTTTCCGAGGCAGTATCACTACGGAAGTAGATTGCCCCATCTTCCTTCCAAGGAGTGGCTGGTGGGTTTGAACTGCCAGCCTTCTGGTTAGCAGTCAAGTGCCTTAGGCACTATGCTACCAGAGCTTCTTTATGTGTGAACAGTTATTTAATATTCACAACCACCTCAGGAGTTACCATTATTAACCCCATCTTGCTGATGAGGAAACGCAGCCTCATACTTGCTCACAACTAGTAAGCAGACGAGATGGTATTCGGTTTCAAAGTCAGTCTAATGCCTAAGCCCTCACTTGCTTTTTGCACCTGCTGCTTACCTCACCATATCAAACATGTTAAGTCGAAGTGTTGGAATCACTGAAAACTAATCCAGGCCTCAGTTAATTCTCGTCAAGAGGTTGATAAAGAATGAAACAGAATAAAGAGCACAAAAGAATAACGTAATACTGCTCCTCTCCAACTCGAAACCACATAGCACCACCTACTGAGGTACACAGTTCACTACAAGTAAGACTGTGGTTAAAGAGCAATTTACCTGAGGCAGAAGCAAAGCAACCAGGAATGTGGGGAGACCAAATCGTGCTGTAAATGACGTTTTCATGGCCTCTAAAAGTGCACAGTGACTTTCCAACAGTTGGATCCCACTAAAAAAAATAAATAAATTACTAATGGAGGGAAATTCAAATATATGCTTTAATATACACTATATAAAGAGCTCTGGTGGCATAGTGATAAGGCACTTGACTGTTAACTGGAAGGTCAGCGGTTCAAACCCACCAACCATTCTGCAGAAGGAAGACGGGGTGATCGATCTACTTCAGTAAAAATTTACAGCCT